CAACCGCCTGCCAAGTTCTTGTCTGTACCTCGTTCTGATAGTACAGCATAGTAGTCATCATGCCGAACAACAATATCTATTCCGTCATACTTGCAATCTGATGGCATATCTCACTGTCGTTGTTTATGTATCTTCTTGAAAGTGCCCTCGCTAGGCAGAGGAGCTCGATGCCGTATTACCATGGCATGCCAGGCCATTCCATTAAATGCGTTCACACACGGAACTACCACTGTCAAGTAACTGGACGATATTTTGCGGAAGATTTGCCGTCTTGCGCCAGCGAGCGGTGCAGCTGCTAATGGTTGGAGTAAGGAACCTGGCGCGCCACTCTACCTGAAACAAGAACAGCCATCACTTCGTAAGCCACTCACTGCCAGGACCCCATCCTGTTGGAATCTGAACGCTATAAAAACGGCTAACCCAGGCCTCAGACCATCATCCAACAAACAAGCTGCATTCTACTCTTCGCTCTGACCACATCATATCTGTTTTACCACCCAATTGATCCACTAAATAGACAGATGCTGAGACGTGCCCCAGCGATAAGCACTGCACAGGATGCAGTCTTCGTCCTATCTTCCAACAAGCCGCGATAGGGGGCACCCGAGATCTCCACACCAGCAAGCTGCCGCCATTGAGCCATACTCTCAGATGTACAAACCTGCTTAGTTTCTTCATCTGCACCCAGTTGAAAATGCGAACAACAACACAGAGATAATTGGCGTAAGCAACTTACACGGCCGCAGCCAATATCTGAAGGCATACCTAGCACACTTCAAACCAAGCGTTGTGCTCCTCTTCAGTCTGTATGTGCCACTCTCCTCTTCAGACTGTTAAACTGTCCTTCTCCGAACTCATCTCTATCTTGCACGAGTAGGGGCACAGACATAAGTCGTTGCATTCAATGCAGTCGATTTGCAGCACATCCGTAATGCTTCACCAAATATAACGAACAGCAGACATAGCGCCCAAACCTGAAAGCATGCAGTACAAGTCATCTGACTGGATGCAAAGACAACCCCTGCATCCGACCAGCAGCAGACATCAGAGGTTCTATTCAAGTCTGCAAACACGACCAAAGCATTGCGAACTTGGGTACATGGTTATCCTCTTTTTACACGGTGAACTCTGTGAGCCGGGAACAGACGGTTTCCCGCATAATTCGAAACATGTCGCCAAAACCATCTCTCACGCTCAATTTTGACACTCAATCGATCGGCCACTAGGACTCTGAAGGGGTGAACGCAAGCTATGGCGATGCTCGCTCTGCTGGGGATGATATCCCGCTCTGGGCCCATCACCAGGACAGTTTTGGAAGGCCCGGCATCGGTACAAACTGAACAACGTACATCGCTAAGCAGTTGGACACCGATTCAAATCTCTACCTGTACAGAGAAAGCGTACAGTGATGAACGTCGCGCCGTCCAACAAGGCACACATCGGCCGGCAGACCATTCTAGCAGCAAACCCAAGAAGCCAAGAACTCTTGCTGCTGTGCGATGCAATCTCCTTGCTCCGTCCTTCGCCGTTACTACTATGCTGTAGAGTCTTGAGAGAGGTTCTTCTCCTCAACCATGAAGAATAAAGTCTCCATTGGAACGAAGCAGACTATTAGGATCCAACTTAAATGCAGCGCTGATAGAATCTTCTCTGATTCTCCTGGCTGAGTAAGGTGCGCTCGGTCTGCATCCGTCTACATGCAGTTGGCACTGTGGAAGCAGCATGCAGAAGACGAAAGGCCTTTACTGTCACAGACCGTAGGGCCTCATCTTCCACTAAACCTGCCCCACATGCTTGAAGATGATGCTGAACGAGCACACGTCCTGCCATAAGATTACCGTAGCATGACGATGACTGCCTTATTTACATATTCATAGAACGGTCTGTGCAAGCACTCAGACTCAGGACTGAGAAAGATCATAAAGAAATAAATCAAATTCTAACCTTTCCCTGACCTTGTGTTCGTTCTACTCTTCTGCTCGGTTCATCACCTCGTATCACCGCGCTTGAAAACAGGAACATATTGCCAATGTATAAAAATCTATAACGTCGATGCGTTTCGTGCAGCGCATTCCACCCAAAAGTGTGCCAGGATCTACGCAATATCTGCTAACATTCGGTGATCCCTGCCCAGATCACCATGTTTAGACAAAGTGCATTTTCAACCCTGCTAAGTACATGTTCTAAATTCATCCCTTGAACATGCATGTGTTCAAAAACCAGCTACTACGGACCTTACCGGACCACCCCCTAACTGATTATTCATTCGAATAAACACTGTCACAGTCCACTTCGTATTTCTTTGGCGTATATAAAAGCTTGGCATCCTACCAGCGGAGTTCCAAGGTCCGGGTCGCACAACAGTAGAGGCGTTCGATACCGCGGCAGGCCTAATAAGCATCGAACAAAAATTACATTAAAATACTCCACCACTGTTAGCTGCGCCTTACACAAATCATACACTTTATTTGTTTCAAATCAACTACAGATCCCATGCTCCCTCATGCCTCTGCTGCCTCCCAACACTCTCCTCCAGCCTCTATGATGCGAATCTTCTTGCCAAAAGTTGTCTGGACACCATCTTCAAAACCAAAAAGACCAATGGCCGCGGCCCGTGCAGCTACGCCACCCTGACGGAATGTCACTGAATACACAACAAGACCAGATGTTTACTATCTAATCGCCTTTCATAGACGTCCACAAGCCATTCAACTTGCGTGCATCAATGCAAGACTTATTAGCACCCTCTACTCTCTCATCGTAGTGCCCCGAGATTACTGCCGAACAAAAGGCCAAAAAGGCCTTTCTAGAGCACAAAATTACCAGTACAAAACCCGCGTATAAGTCAACATATGATTTTTCCCAAGTTAGATCCTCAACAATGTCTATATACTAAATGGTGCTTATCCTGAAAAATTAGTGACTCAAAGGGCCCTTCTTCAATAGCGTTCTTAATTGCTTTCTCACTTTTAATATCCTACTAGCTGAAACCCGCGCTACGCGCGGGCCTTAGTGACTGTGATGCATGTGTTACCAGTACAGTAGTGTTCATCGTGCTTATAAGGTTATATGGAGACGCGTTTAATTGTTGCACATTGTTTTTATATAACGAACAATTTTTATTTCAGGCGAATTGTGTTCTTCATCTCTGATATGCAATTTTGTGACCGCATTTCGCCTGCAGTCGTTCTAATCGACGTCGCCTTCTTTCATGCCGGCCCCGTTATTTACTGTATTATGTAAATAATCGCCTAGTACTGCCTGTCTCAACTAACAATGCCAGGGTAGCTGGGCATTGTTATTGCTTGACCCAGCATTTTGCATTTGGCACTGGCAATTGTGTACTTCCCATCGCATACTTGTTGAGCTCATCGTTCTTATATTTACCTGCTGTTTCTTTTTAAGTCTTCATCTGCCATCCTGGAAAACTCTAGCACCTACTTAAAATCTTAGCCCTTAAAACAGTTCTTATCGTAATAAGGCCAGGTCTAAATGGGAAATTTTAGCCTAACATGTTCTTAAAATCTATGTTCTTATACGCGGGTTTTTACTGTAGTGCAACAGTGAACAATTTGCGGAGGCTTACTGTTGTCTGCCTCCTAAAATAAATTCTATGTCGTCCACTTGTTATTATGAGATCTATATGGAAGACCAGTGTTAGAACATTTTATGAGCTAAATAATAAATTAAGAGAATTTTTCCTTTTGTATGAGAATTAGACAAATTTCCAGTAGAAAAAGTCCATTGCCATTGGAAAAGTGGAAATTTAAAACTTGGTTGAACGAACAAACTGAAACCAGCTGAACTCATTTTGACGGTTCTTTGGCCTCACCTGTGTTTGCCTCACTATCAAAGAAGGTATACAATATGACGGGACAGCTGACTAAAATGTTATGCCAAAGAGCAGCAATACTAGCGCTGACAAATACTAGACGCAATACTAGACTGGTAAAGGGTTGCAGCTATGAAGTGTGGTTGGCATTGAAAACATACAGAGACATCAGTTGTCTGCTAAGAAAAGTGCCGATCTGTGGTGTTCTGTGCTGATCTGTGGTGTTCTGTGGTGTTCTGTGCCGAGCAGGACCAACCACAGAAAGAGCATCAACAAACATGATATGGCGCACCGAACAAGCCACCCACACTGTCAAGCGCAGCCAAGGATACCTACTACTACTACTAGTTTTTGCGAATGGAATTTTCAAGAGTTCTAGCTCTTTCCATCAGGAAATAAAAAAATGGAGCGCATAGATACAGCAAAAGGATATAATTATTTGACTTGCTCAATGGCGCTCGTAGGGTCTATGTCCCCCTGACCTCTGTTTGACCTGGCTCGTTTAGCTATTTCTGACTAACCCTAACCCTAACTCTAACCCTAACCCTAACCCTATATATATTATATGTTATATATATATATATATTAGTCAGAAATAGCTAAACGAGCCAGGTCAAACAGAGGTCAGGGTGACATAGACGTACCTTATCTGCCTCAATGGCTGGTTTGTATGCACCGTATCATGACAACTCCCAAGTAATTCCCCATCTTATTCTTAATGAAAGGATAGACAAGGCAAACCACATTAGTGGTGAATTATTGGTATGGAGATCTGAAGCCGAGATTACCGCCAGGGCCGGTAGACAGTGCAATATATGCAAACTAAAAAAAAATGACAGAAAATTAATACAAATATACATCTCATAAAATTGTCTCCATAGTGATGTAGCGACAACGCACATACACTTGTACATGCATGCAGGCATGCACGCACACAAATGGCATGGACAGGAATTTAAAGCGTTTCATTACTTAACTTGCTCGCTCGATTGATGGAGAATAATAAAAACATTACCAACTATAGTCGCGGCTATGATCTAGGCTTGTAATACTATGTTTAAATATATTTTTAAGGGTTAAATTATCAATATTAATTGTACACTACTACAGTACAAAACGTAGTACTTATAGTCTACATAATGCGTAATGCGTAATGCTACATTTTCAGACTTCAAATGGCCGAGGAAGAAGAGCAGATGTTTTTGACGAGACAAGAGGTTGTCTACACAAGACAAGACCAGCCTGGAGTATACTATATTGCAGCCAGCAAACCAGAGGATACGTGCTCGACCCAGCTTACGGACATTTCCTTACCTCGGTCATCCAGTGGATTTTCTGAGCTACCTCTTTCGGCAGTAGCAAGTGAGCATTCTGATTTCGTCTGCACTGAAAGCAATGATGATGCTGTTGACCAAATTGTCAACATGGCAGAACAACAAAATGAGGCAAGTACACAGTAATCAACTTTTTCAGACAACTCGCTTTTGTGAGTTGTGTACATACATGGAACTATTTTGTCAACAGACAAATGCAGCTGAGCAATTTCTAAACTTGATTGTTCAATAATTGGTTCATATCCATCTTTGGTCATTAATTGTCATTTCATAAAGTTGCATAACGTTTAAAATGGTTTCACAGTCAAATAGATTGTTAGCAGCTTTCAAAAGTCAAATATGAAGAATAGTGTTTACTCCTTGTTTGTCATATTCACATGTCTTTCGGGCACTGTGTGTAAACAAATGAATTGGAGCATAAGAAATAACATGGATACTGACAGGTATCGGCCGTGACGCTGGAAGAAGCGGCAGCATCTATTCTTGAAGGCAATATCGATGCTTTAGATGAGGAACCAGGGGAAAATCAATTGTCAGCAGATGGAGACCTGCAGATGTCAAACACGATCCCTAACAATACTGGCGAGCACACACACGAGGTAAATACTGTATACATATAATCAGGCATTAAAATATGTTATTGGTGCAGAAAACACTGCTAAGAAACCATATTGAAAATAACCATTCATCACCTTTCTGTATTATGTTACGTTAATTATGTTCTATGTTTGTGCCACATGCTAATTTGTTAAAGTTTAATGTCAGTGAAACATAAAGGAAACTGTGTGTTGAGAATAAAATTATAAAATAGTGTAATAAGGGTGCTCTTAGAAAATTCATTTCTATATTTCAGCATGAGGTGGAGAACCAAAAGGAAGAAAATGTGACAGTTGCTGAAGTAGATGTATCCAACCCCATTGAGCTATCACATAACATAATTGTCACCATCAATGGGAAGAAATGCATCCTACAGGTACCTAACTCTACATGTATATGAATGAACCCACAGTGGTTACTATCTACAATGTAGTAGATAATGTTAGTAAAGGTTTTATGTGAGGGGTTGTATTATATTTGTCTTATCTTACCCTGACACCTGATGTGTATACTTACACCTGTGAAACCCATTGATTGTTTGCTACATGTCGAACAGTTGACTAAATGCTAGAGCAGAGAAATTGGAGTTGACTAGTTAGTTACAACAGCCATCAAGACGAAAATGTGGATCCATCGAGAAAATATTCAGAGATGTGTGAATTCAGCACTAGTATGGCATCGATTTCTCAAGTTTCTATTGCTTCCGTGTTAATGCACCAGGTGTGCGACCATTAAAACCAGCATTTCCTATCCGCCTCTCGCCTGTGTTGTCGATTCCAGTACAGAGTTTCAATTTCAGCAGGATGCGGCGACAGGCGCGATGGTTGGGTACCCGCTCCGGATGGAGGGAGAAGCGCCAAAGCGTAGGAGAGGTCGACCGCGAAAGGTACGACCTGAGCCGGGAACCGTCGAGGCACCCACCGACGCAAGCAAAGGGAAGAAGCCGAGCGAGGAATGGGAGAACGAAAAGGAGCAAGGGAACAAGTCAGGAGAGGAAAAAGTACCGGAGGAGGAGAAGGAAGAGGAGAAGGCGGCGCAGGGCCTGCTGGAGCTGCGTCATTCGTCGGGACTCACCGTGAAGAGAAGCAGCCGGAGAAGGAAGCCGGCGAGAAAGTTTGAGAGTACGTGCGCTGAACGCGAGCCGTGCTGCGCACTCGCGTCGCGACGAGTCAGCTTTCCCCCGAACTCCCGATTTACACCGATCATATCTTTTAGTCTAAATACATATCGTAACCGAAAAATTATAAAAAATATGCAAATAGGGAAAAATTATCATAAAAAATATTAATTAACAGAAAAATATCGTAGGTCGTGCCGATTTTATGATTGGCATGATCGAGGAAATCGAGTAAGATGTCGTACCAGGGTTCTCCAAGAGCACTTCTAGCCTGGCGGCCCGCCAGGCTATCGTCGAGCCCCTATGTTCGCTCCATGCGGTTAAGCGCAGTGTTAGAACGAGGGTTAGGGTGAATTGCAACCAAAAAAGTTAAGATATTTTGATACTGTTAGTGTTAGAAGTGCCACAAAAGAGCGAAACGAGGATAATTATCTATTTTCTGGTACCAAATGAGTGTAAAATGAGTGTATTTTAATGTAGATACGTAAATAACATGTACATATGGACACGGATATGTACATGTTTACATTAAGATCAGGGTTGAAAATAACTCGCCGATCCGGTGATCCGACGGCTTTTTCAGCTTCGGATCAACACCGGATCATGAAAAATAAAACATCGGTGATCCGACTGGATCACCGAAAAATATTTACATGCTATACCTTTCTCCGATAAGCGATTTTGAAAAAGATCGCAAAAAGAATCATTACATCTAGCTTTCATAAGTATTTTGAACCTTAGTTATACTTCAGAAGCATAACTCATTTAGCTGATAAGGCAACGCTTAGTGATGATAACACTCCCAAGCAAGATTGATACAATGTGTGAGAGGTGCTTGCAAGGTGCTTGCAAGTTGCAGCTTGTGTATGTGCTAAGCAGCAAACTGGACTCGGCTAAGTGGCAGACATCGCAGTTTAGGGGGAGGGTGGCAGTTTTAATGGCGAGCGTGAAGCGGTTAAAATTTATAAGTGCTGATGAAGACAGGTTGTATTTGTACGTTAAAACTATTGCACAATATTGAAGTGCCATAGCAAAAATGCTAATTTAAAGTTTCAAAGTATAACATATTTTTTAGTTATTTGTACCCACACAGGCCCGTAGCCAGCTTTGTATTGGGGGGGGTTCGTTTTTCAATGTTTGATGTGATTTACTTTACACCTGTGAAGACCCATTGATTGTTTGCACAGTCGAAACATTTGACTAAGATGCTAGAGGCAGAGAAATTGAGTTGACTTGAGTTTAGTATACAAACAGCCATCAAGACGAAATTGTGACCATCGAGAAAATATTCAGAAGATGTGTGAATTCAGCAACAGTATGGCTATCGGGATTCTCAAGTTTCTATTGCTTCCGTGTTTAACTGGCACCCATTGGTAGTGGCGACGCATTAACACCAGCATTCCTATTTCCGCTCTCCCATGTGTTTGTCGATTCCAGTACAGAGTTTCAAAATTTCAAAGCCAGGATGCGGCGACAGTGCGCGCGATGGTTGGGTACCCGCTCCGGATTGGAGGGAGAAGGCCAAAGCGTAGGAGAGTCGAGCCGCGAAAGTACGACTGAGCGGGAAGCCGTCGACGGCACCACCGACGCAAGCAAAGGGAAGAAGCCGAGCGAGGAAATGTGGAGAACGAAAAGCAAAGCAAGGGAACAAGTCAGCGAGAGGAAAAAGTACCGGAGGGAGGAGCAAGGAAGAGGACGATGAGCCGGCGCTAAGGCCTGCTGGGCTGCGTCATCGTCCGGTCGGACTCACCCGTAAAAGAGAAGCAGCCGGAAGACAGGAAGCGGCGAGAAAGTTGAAGAGTAAAACGTGGCGCTGAACCGCGAGCCGTGTCTGCGCACCGCGTCGCGAGACGAGTCAGCTTTCCCCGAAACTCCCGATTTACACCGATCTATTTTTTATCTAAATACATATCCGTAACCGAAAAATTATAAAAATATGCAAAAGGGAAAAATTTCAATAAAAATAATTAATTAATTAAACGAAAAATATCAGTAGGTCGTCGCCTGATTTTAATGATATGGCGATTGAATCGAGGAAATTCGAGTAAGACTGCGCGTACCAAGGGTTCCTCCAAGAGCACTTCTAGGCTGCGGCCCCGCCAGGGCCATCGCTCGA